ACATAGAGAAAATGTCATTGTTCACACTGCGTAGCACCGCTCCAACAGAACGGCAAGCCCCACCTCGAACAGCTGATACCGCGGTGGTAAGGCACTCGCTTGCAACGGGGGAATAGCGGTGTTTGACTCGCTGTTCCAAAACAGGTAGAACAGTAATAGGAACCTAAATGCACTAAACAGCAGCTGTATTTTCCACAGTCAGAAGTTTTCAACAGAAATTTCCTCTTTAGTAAAACACACCTGATGTGCAATCCGTCAGAAGACTTTGGATTCAAGAAATCAGCAACTTTCTCTGGGAAGACAGGGGTGAATCGTATTTACTTGGAAAGTTCCTACCAAGCACTCCCGCCTGCCAGCTCATCGGGGTCTGGACTGGAAACAGCGCACGCCTCTGGATCTCTGGGGCACAGGCTCCGTTGGCACTGACCATCAAGGGTTACTAACCAAAATGGGGGGAATGCTGTGTAACGTAATATCTGCACTTATTTAGCAAGTACAAATTCAAAGACTCTTAAAACATATTTGTCTAAATTATCCTCGTTAACACTCCAAAGCAGTCCCATCTTACTAGGATAGGAACAAACTGAAGCAGTGAGAACTTTGACTAAGGCTACCAAGTAAGCCACTGCAAAGCTTGGGAGCCTCAACTTCCCTGCTGTACTCATTTCCTTAGGGATCAGCTCCCCTGTAACACGATTTTCAGCGTATGTGGGCTTCTGGCATTTTGAAGTCAAATACATCTATCTGAGGACAAAACTCTTCCTTAACAAATTCAGACAAGTTTAGAGAGCCAAGGGAACGTGCCGTATTTTGAGAATGGTTCACCATTGTATCGTATGGAAGATGTGCAGAACCAATTAATATTTTCTCCTGCTCCTTGTGGCATGTCTCCTCTTCCTATGCAATACTACCACAGCTACTGCCACATAGATGGATTACCCCAAGGATCTTCGCTTCCTGGCAGATAAGATGCTGTATTTCTCTGCCCAGATGCTATGCAGACTGATTCTCAAAAAAAAAAGCAGAATGGATCCACTTACAGCCTTAACAAAGAAAAGGCTCATGCTTGGAATTTATCTAGCATCCTGTCCCTTCCTTCTCCACCCCTGCAGCCATCTTCTTGGGAAAGAGAAACCTGAGCACGCGTTTCTGAAGATTTGTTTCTTCAGCTGAACAGAATGAAACCATAAAAGCCCAAAGTCCGCTCATCCAGATAAAGAAAGTGCAGCACGGAGGAATGAATCTGCTCGGCAGCTCGTCGCCTCCTGAATGTCACCTGTCCTTCAGACTGCTGCTGGAACCTCTTCCTCGGATTGTCCGCTCTCACCTGTGAATGAGCGCTATTGTGTGCGGTGGCTATTGGGAACAGAATTCAATGCCAAAGCCTCAAACCTCATCCCAGCTGCACGTGGTCCTACAGCGACTCGCCCGGCCGCGGACAGCTGTGAGCTGCACGCCTCGCTGAGCGGGCACGGAGCTCTTCCTCGGCCTGACCGCTCGCTGGGCTTCCCCGAGCCCCGGGCTGGGATTTCATCCCTGCGGCCAGCGCCCTCACCACATTTCTGGGAAGTCGTTAAAAAGCAGGTTACAGTCTGCCATATACCTCCACGAGAAGCGATCTTCCGCAGCCAGACTGAAAAATGTGGGTGGAACACCGTGTTTTCCCCTTGTTTATCTCACTTTCCAGTCACTCAACGCCTCGGCGTAACAACCGCAGAGGCAGGGCCTGAACCTGTGCATTAGATAACACTATACACACCACAACAGCCAGGGAATTTCTCTTCAGATCGAGCACAAAGTCTACCAAGGGTTAAAATAAACTCCTAATTTTTTTTTGGTGGTCTTTGGGTACAGAATCTCTTATAATAAGACTATTTGTATTCATACTGGCAGAGTAAACACTACATGTTCATGCCCAGGCAGCTCTGTGCTTGTAATTTCAGCGAGAACAGAGCTACGTCCCTGAGGGACTTTGCTATTTCCCCAGCCACCATCCACTCAAACGCTGAATGAGAGCAGAGAAAGAGAGAAAGATGATGGCATAAGCCTCCGCAGCACCGCAGCCTCAGCTTTCACTAAGAATGCAGGGAATAGCTTATTTCAGGTTTAATTATACTAAGTAAAACATTCCTCCTGCAGGCCAGCAAAAGACAAGGACACAGTAGACAAAACCCCCTATTTCCTCTCATCACTATACGTGATGATTTTGAACAGAGCTTTTGCAAATTTTAAGTTATATATCTTGTAAAAGGACAGCGCTAGTTCAATGGTGCCAAGAAAAAAAAAAATATAGCACCACTTAGAACTGTTCAAATTTAAATTACTGTAGGAACGTTCAGTTACCGAATCCCACCCAGCCTAGACAAAAAAAAAAAAAAACACACCAAAACAAAACACCACAAAAAACCCCAAACAAACCACACCACCACATCTTCTACTAGTTAGCTTTATTCTCCAGTCATTCCAATGCTGCTTTGGCTTGTTAGTGTTACGCACACCAGCAAAAGCCCACCACAACAGTACAGCCTCCTCCTGCCTGAGCTGAAGGAGTAACTCTATTATCCCAACAGCATTAGCAGGTTGTTAGCCTCAAGTAAATCATTCACTAGAGGGGGATGTTGCACACACCTTGCCAGCGTGCTACACAAACACTGCATGGCGAGTATTTAAACGGAAAGCATAAAATTGGTTTTTCATTTTTTAAGCAAATGGAAACATTTCTATTTAGTCTTGTAAAACATATTTTGCTCAAATACAAACCCCAGTTACCTGGAATAGCTGAATGAGCACTTTTTAATTATGAAGGAAAAACAGCATAGGCGCAGGTTTGAAATGGAATCATCATTTACTATGGAGGTTAAAATACCCATTGTATGGAAGGTATTAAGTTTTAATGAAACAAAAATCTCATTTTCAAGAGAGGGATTTCATCTGTGAAAGACGGAATGAATAGATTTTGTGCCTGGCTGGTAAATTTTCATTGCAATTGTCAAACCTAGTCCAAAACACAATGTGCTGCAGGATATGGAAAGAAAAGTAGCGTTAAAGAAAGTGCAACTTGCCTCATTTCCTCCCGGCAGCCTGTTCATGTGCACGAGTTGGCCCTGATCATCCAACACCAATTCAGTGTACGTTAGTATGTCAGGAGGCAGCGGCGGTGTTGGCAGGACTGCATGTTCATTCATAGACTCCCAGAGCTTAATCAAAGACTGGAGGATGAAAAGGTAAATTCTTAAGAACGTCATCTGCAAGTATTTTTATTCAATCCACTGTGACTTAATAGTCAAGACAGAACACTCTGAAATATCCCTCCTCCCAGTTTGACTGACAATATTCAGTGGATATCACTCTGGCATTTAAACTACGAAACACAGTTTCACTTACAGTACCGTAACTCAAATTATGTGATTCAGGATAGAACCCAGCTAATCAGATATACAACCAATTCTGCAACTCATTAACACGTCTAATGATGTACGAGTCCTGTCCTAGGAACTATCACCCCTGCACTGTCCAACCGTCTAGGAAGGCTGGATAACAGGGTGGGAAAACAAAAGAAACATAAACAAGGAACGCGAGACAGTTTACATTTCAGCTTCTGCTGTTTGACTTATTAATGGAACCGCAGCAGCATTATATCAGGAGTCCTAATTTCTTTCCAAGTAGACTCAAGCCATAGCTGTACAGACCCCGAGGCACCACTGTTAGCCACTCCAGGCCGCTTGTTTCCCTGACAAGCAAGGAGGACAACCGATAGAAGTGCTTTGCAGGTACAAGAGTTTAGAACAACCCACCGGGCCCCTAAGAACACTCACCTGCCGAAACATCTCGGGAATATCATAGACGTACGACGTCCCTAAAGACTGTGCCTGGAACCTCTTGGACTGAAGCAGGTCCTTGGTCACGTACGGGGTATTGATCAGCATCCCATGAAGCGGTCCCTGTTTATCCCCGTATGCCTGGAACATAATCTGCAGCACAAAACATGACCCATTACAGTTTAATCCACTGGGTGCCATACACCTATCTCACTCAAACTTCACCAGAAGTCATCAGGACATTCCAGACTGATCAGGCTTGTTTCTGTTCTCTACAAGTATGTTAATACTCGCACATCCTGTAACACCATGCTTCATCATGCATTACTACCCTTTGGAGACAGCGCTGGACCATTACTGCACGGATCCCAGTATCACTGACTTATTACCATATCACAGCAGAAAGCAAAGTGAACAGAGCCACGTCTCCACAGAAAAAAAGCCCCTGACTTAGATGACTTCACATTCGCCAGTATTTCCCCTGACACCGTATCTATGCCGATGGATTGCGATAGCTGGGAGCAGAGAGGAGAACTCTGTTATTTATGTAGTTGAGCAGCACGGTATCCGTATCTCCACTGACTGATCATGGAAGCTAGGTCAAGACTTGCATATGTCATTTGGCTTGAAGTTTTGATATTGCAAGTTTAAAAGATTCTCCCGGAGTAGCAACATGAATTATCAGCTGCCATGCTCCACGGCACTATATATTCCACTCAGCCAGGACTCAGAAGGAAATCTATTTCAACTAAGAAACAGGAGGAGCACTGCTTAACTGGGACGACGCTGCACAAATGCGGCTCAATAGAAACACGCCTGACGGAAGCAACACGATTAGGCTGCTTTTAACAGAACAGTGATCAGATCTGATGTTACAAACGGCGGATCTTTTCCTAATTGAAGGTGAATTAACTGAAGGATTCCACTAAAGATAAAATTCAATAAGTAAAGCCTATTTTAGTTTCTACATTAAAAATAGTAGTTTTACATTTAGTTTTACATTAATTTAGTTGTTACATTTGACATTAATACATTTTACATACATTTTACATCCCTGGAAGCGTTCAAAAAACGGGCAGACGTGGCACTTTGGGATATGGTTTAGTCTACCCTTAATTGGGTTAGTGTGGACTTGGTAGTGTGAGGTTAATGGTTGGACTAGATGATCTTAAAGGTCTTTTCCAACCCAAACGATTCTGTGATTCTATGCTCTCTTCTTCACAAACATCTTTATAAACATTGCTTTGTGAAGTAGCTTCTTCAATGGGAGAAATATTTATTCAGGGTAACAAGCATTTGTGACAGTGCCTGTGTTAGGGTCTGCTACCGCACTCGGGGACCAATTCTCCTTAAACCTCCAGAAAGCTTCTGAGCAGTTCTGTGGAAACTAGAAAAGTCTGTACTGAGCATCACCACTCATTACTGCAGAAAGTGCGAAACAAGATCAGGGTCATTCTCTCATGATGAATCTATTTTTCCACTCTTCAGAAGTCAAAGTGCCTAGCACCTGGTACATCAGTAATGTTTGAATTTTTTTTAAAGAGAATCCATTAAGTTCAAAATAACCCTCGGAAAACACAGGAAAAAATACATAGATCTGAACCTGTCCTATAAAACTCCATCATGAAGGGGAAGATTTACCGAAGTTTCTTACAAAGTTTGAAGGTATTAGTTTTTTTAAGACAAACCTTTCTCCCAACTACTCAAAAGAGTTAATTGAAATAATTCCTCTCAGTATAGTTTTTAAATAGAACTGGTTTAATATTGGTGGGGAGGGGTGTCAAATTAAAAAATCAAATATTGGAAAAGTGCTAAAAGCTGTACACACACAAGCGCATTCTCCTAGCTTTAAAAACATAAAGCTCATCAGAGACAGAGTTTAAGAGGAAAGGTGACCTTCACAAATGACTACCAAAACTCAAGTGTTAAGCTCAGCTACTGGAGATGATTAAAATGTTCTTTTCTTTCCTCATCTCCACTCAAAGGCAGAAATGAAGTAAAACATCCAGGCACTATCTGTTGTAGGATCTCCAGAAGTGGACGGACTGTACGGCCAGGCAGCTTGCTGGAAGAATTTAAATGGAGAAGAGGGGGAGAAAAGGTGACTCAGCACTTTGTGTTCAACATTAACGGTGCCCGAGTGATTTATTCTGCTGCTACTACTGCATGGCAGAGAGATTATTACAGAGGGAGATGTAAACATTTCTGTATTTAAATATTTTTCATGCATCCTATGCTCCATGTATTTTAGCGTATGTAGGTATTTCAGTTAACCACACTATTCCTACGCCATGAAAAGCGGAAATACCAGAATAGCCACAACCATTAAAAAAGAGCCCATTATGCTTCATAAAAATGATATAAAAGCACCTTCAATAATTTTATATCATCCTACCCTGGTCATTCCCTATATCTTTAGAATTTAAAAGACAAGTTCAGATTTTCTCTATCTACTAGGGGAAACGTATAATTAATAATATTTTTTATTAAGACCTACAGGATGAGCACCAACAGCGATTACTTTTCCATTACTTTTTTGAGCACTCTGCCACAGAGGAAAACAGATGTACAAATGACTGAAGGTACGTACAAACCAATTAGAAGACATGCACTTTTACATAATTGAGTAAATAATTGTTAAAGCTGTCCCTGCTCACTGCAGGGGGGTTGGGCTAGACGACCTCTAAAGGTCCCTTCCAACCCAAAGCACTCTATGATTATGTTTCACACACCTACGCGCCTACTGCAAGATTATTTTTACATTCTTCCTCCTTTGGCAAAGTTGAATGGCAATTTTATATTACCCGAGAACACCGCAAAGCACAGAAGAGCTTCATCGGGTATAATACATCCCCCTCAGATAAGTTGCTCATCAAACCATGGAGCCACGTGGAACCGTACCTGTCCTGTCCTGGAGTCTGTCACTTCTTTGTACAGGCTGATGTCCAAGTAGTAGCCCGACTCATTGGTCAAGAAGAGCCGGATGGGAATCGCCTTCCCAGTTGGTGTCAAACGAATGTTGATCTTCAGCTCGGCCTGGAGGACACGGAGTTTCCACAGGCGACTCCCGTAGCGCATCACCATGCTCCTCACGGATTCTTCGATCTTAAAACACGAGAAGAATTTCCCTCACCTTTCTGGACACATCCACTGCTTTGTCACCCTTCCACCCCGCTGCTGTAAGGTCCTGCCTTGAGCAGGGGCACCCCAGCGTGCAGGGGGACCATCACAGAAGAGGAGAGACGGACGGAAGCACCAAACAGCAGCCCGTGCCCAGTGCTGTTCCGGGACCTCTGTGGCCCGTCTGGTCTCATCCTAACGAGCCTGGAGATAGGCAGGAACTCAACCTGGGGACTACTGGGGTAGCAGGACAGCGCTGGATTCACATCCCTTTTTCCTCACGGCACCGACACCCCAGCAAGGCACGGCGTGCCCGCTGCTTCCCCTTCATTTACCTTTCTTCCTGCAGGCATAGCTCACAGCTAAGAACTACAAAATGCAGGAAAGTGAAATCCTTGACAAACAGTTATGTAGCACTTATATGCACAATAATCATGTTTCACCACACATGCGGTACGGTGCTTTAAATCAGCAAAGCAATTACTACTTGGAGCTTGGCCTTCTGGTGTTCCATTAAACTTTATAATATACTACTGTTGGCAAATAGCGCATATTAAAAGAAGGCAATTTATAGGCTGTTTTTAAGATTCTTTCAAAAAATAAAAAGTCTCTTTTCCTCAGCAGCTCGGGGAAAAGTCACGGTACACATTTGAGGGCAGCCTAACTTCCAGGGGCTGAATATCCCAGCTTCTGCTGAACTTCCTGGGAACTAAAGATTTTGGATGTGCTGAGAGAGGATTTATTCAAAAGCGACTTAAGCCACCAATTCTTAATCGTGATTCAAAAGTCAGCAAGCAAGAGATACTTATTTTGATAACCAATTCATCTTTTTAAACTTTCAGTTCTTCTCATAAGGAAAGGTCAGCTCTCATCTTTCGGTAACCATGAACAGAATGTTGATTTCCAACTAAATGCAGCCTTTACAGTTTATTTGGGACTTTCTTTGTGGTGGTTCTACTAACCAGAAACGTGCTTTATGCCTAAACACTTTCATTTATGCATCTACAAAGCTTAATGTTCATTTATTTATAATGTTGATCTCTGTGGTTTTGTATCAGAGAATGATAATGAAGCACTTCTTTTTGTAGCTGAATTTACAAATTCTTTTTAAGTTCGTGCTTTATCTCACGTTTTATTTGGATAGAGTCTAGACTTTTGTAACAAACAGAAGAGCATTTAAAGCTATTTCCTTATTAAAATTGTTTATCTCAAACACACAACGAAAAAATAAGTTTAGTTTCAAATACAAAACATATTTTTAATGAACTGTTCCTTAGTTTACATGGAGGAAGAGAGCTGCGCTGCCTGAAGGACAGCATTACTCCACTGAAAATATGAGCTCTGCTAGTTCTGAAACATTACATTTAATATTTATTCATAGATTGGAAGAAAAAACAAAGCTTTCTTCCTTCCTCACTGCCAAATGGGTTCCTAACGTGAAACAAACTAATTGCTTGCTGTAACTAGCTGAAATAAAAAGTATTCTCTCTGCTTTTGAAGAGAAGTTGGTTTAGCAGCTGAACAAGTAATCTTCAGTTGGAGATGCCCTTTAGTTATGTGACTCCACCTTCTTTATTGAAAAGCAAAACTCCAGTATTAACTAAATATAACTCCAGTATATAACTAAACTGACCCTCATGTTACCACTTCTAATACCGGTCCCCAATTTCTTGTGCTTTCTGTTATAAAACTGCTAGTAGAAACTGCACGCCATTCACCAAACAGTATTAAAAGGTACTCAATCAGTAGGTGCACTTACCTAGCATAAAAAGGCAACAGAAGACCATTTAATTCTGGCAAGTCAAGCCCAAGAAAAACAAACAGTTGAGAGCTAGAGAAGAGATCGTACCTTGGATGGGTCCATGATGACAGTAGGCACGAAATTTAAGAAGATGTGATTGCAGTCAGTGCGCACGTTGGTATTATTAAATGCCACCTCCAACTCATCCATGGCTTCCAAAAGCAATCGCTCTCCCTCATTTTGCAGATACTCAAAGGAGGCTTCCTGCCAGATATCGTCAACAAATAATTTACTTTCTACTCAAAAATCGCTGCCCGAGAAGACAGTGTTTGAAAAACTGCAGAAGGACTTGACTGAGAAAATAGGTTACATCAGTTTCAGAAGGATGTGCAGCCCTGAAAGAGATCTGTCACAATCACATAGCCAGCACTCCCTCTGCCTGGGTTCGCACACCCGCCTGACTCATTTAGGCCAGCATAAATCCCAAACTAGGCAGGGCAAGCCATTACTGCAGTACTGCAGGAGAAAAACTGTTGCCTCAAAATGCAAGGATTTCTGACTATCCACTTGGGCCGCAGAAAAATCTCCTTGAAGCATAGGAATACTAGGTGTTCGAAGACATGCTTCTGCAGAGCCAACACGAGCAAGGAGAGGGCACACATCCACGGTGCTCTATACAGGCAACATGTTTGCATGCAGGTTCCTGGAATGACTTAGTGTTTCATACACTGACTTGGAAAGAGACCTTGCGTGGGTGACAAAAACTCACCTTAGTAACGAGATCTGAATGCCTTATAATAGCCCTCACGAAGAACCTGTAGTCTGTCACTTCTGTTCCCACTTCAACTTTAGCTGCTCCCAGGTAGAGATGCATTTTGTGATTGGCACATGGAATGGCAGTCAGATCAAAGTTTCGCATTCGGTTCAGCTCCAGCTGAAAGGCCAGAGCTGGCTCCAGATGACGGTAAATCCTATCTTCCTCAAACTGGAGGCACCCGGCATCATCCAGGTAGAAAAGGGTGTAAAAGAGGAGGGCGGGTTAAGAAGCTAAAACACTCAGGATGGGAAGAACTAGACAACACCCCTTGGGAAATTTCGTATGCAATTAAAAAAAATAAAAATTCAAATTAATCCAACCCAGAATTTTCTATCTCATGCAGAGTCATTAGCACTAAGAGCTGCACTGAAATTGTTGAAATACTAAGAGTGGAAGACAAACTGCAAGACAGCAAGTTCTCAACCTCGCACACCCCCAACCCCCTCTTTTTCAGAGAAGCCAGAAAGTTTCATATTGACTCATTGTATGGGTTCCAACGCTTCCTTGTTACACTGTGACTAAAATCTGCAAAAAACACAACCTTCAGGTCAGGCTTCCAAATGCACGAATTTTTATTCCCAAATATCAGGGACTCATCATTGTCACCGACATCAATTGCTGCGTGTGCGGACGACTGGCCTAGCGAGGGAGGAGAAAACACCGCACTAGGCAGTGCAGTTGGGCTGAAGTAGCTCCCACCCTCTTAGACTAGCAAGGAACAGCTACATGAAAGAAGGATAAAGCCAATACTTAGGGAAAAGTATTAAGAATATACAGCTTACCTTATCCCGGGCACGGAACGTGAAGAACTTTGGAAATTCCCTCTGAAAACAAAAACAATGATGTCAGCCCTCCAAAAGTAAGCCGTTTGATCTACCCAGAGTGCTCGCAGGCCAGACCTGGGGTAGCACCGCAGCAGAGGAGATGACAGAAGTTGTTACAAGCTACTTTTTCAACATCACAGAGGGTGCTGGAAAATCAAGTTACCCTCAAGAAGGCAGCAGAGGTAGTTTAAATCTATCTTCACTGCTCATGCAACAGAGGCTACTTGATTGGCTTTTGATTATTATTGCCAATTATTAACAGACAATAACATGGAACTGTCCGGACAGTAGTGGGAAACTTCTTTAGTTCTATTATGATTATGGTTACTGTGGAAATGTTTGGGAGCCATAGTGATATTAACACTCCATTACGTAAGCAGATGTACACAAAACAATGATCTCTATTCTATAGCTTTCTTCATACTATTACTGCTAGAAATGCTCTCTTCCCAAGGAAAACTATGAATTGTAATCAAATAACTCCATCCTCACGTGTTAAATAGTACTCCACAAAAATCCCACAGATACGATTAGGTTTCTCTGTTATTCTATTGCACAGATAAAATCCTAGCAAATAGTAAGGGCTTCACATTTTTGTGGCATATTGCACGTGTCTTAGAAGGAGGAGAGAGAAAGACTAGGCAGCATCCTTCTACCTATCCCTCCAGTTTCATGCCAGCAAAGCCATCCGTTTCTCTGGAATTACACTTTTACTGGGTGGAGGAACTTTTGTGACTGCTTTGCACCAACACGAGAATACCAGCTATTTATGCTAAAGGTGACCCAAGAGAGCATACACAACTCGCCAGAACTGTCTTACTAAGAAAAAAACGAAGGTATCTGACCTGGAGTCACTGAATTCCTGAATCACGTTTCACTATCAATGAAAGACTTGCAACCCTAGCTTGATTCCATTCAACAGCCAGCGCATGGTGACAGAGTGTAAGGCTCCACTGAGCAACACAGTTTTTAAGGGTAGAAGCAATCTTCTAGCCAGTCATCTTCCTTACCTCCTATAATAAACAGTCCCCAGAACTTCACCTGATGACTCTCAGTTGAGCAGAATAACTTGTGTTTGCCTGGAGTGTGTCTTCCAGACTAGCCAGTGGTACAAGAAATCCTGCCTGAAAATTCAGGCAATGGGCATATTAGGTGAGCCTATGAGCATCAACTCTACTCTAAGAAAACAACCACTTCCATGTTTCCTCACTTCTCTTCCAAATCCCTCCTACCTGTCCTCCTCTGCACGCTGCCAATTTCTCCTAACATCATCCATGCTCATTCTATCACTAATGTAATTGCTTTCAAGGCATTTGACTAGTGTTGTGGGCAAATATAATAATTAGATGTGCACACACACAAAAATTCTCAGTGCTCTGGTACCAAAATCCAAAAGAGTGCTCCATTTCCTAGGCAGAAGAATTATATCCCTGCTGTGTTCTAATCAACCAACCATCATCAAGACAATCAAAATAATTTGCCTAAATTAGCCAATCAAGACACCCTGCAAACTGCAGAATGTGAAAAGCTACAACAGAAATCATCATAGTTGATTATTATACTAATAATCACGTTAAAAACCTAATGAGATGAGGAAATTGGAAGCTTGCTGGAGCAACTCTCTATTACCTCAACATGCTGGGAACTAATTATATAGACTGTAATTAAAACAAAAACAAACCCAAGCCCAGGCCCTGGCTAAGTTAATAGTTGGTCCAGTAATAAATGGAATAGAATAGGAGATAGTAATAAAGACTGACACTCACAAAAGATCCCAGAGGTACTCTACCAACTTTGCAAACAGACGACATACCACGCTGCCTCCTCTGGCTTAGGCACCGGGAACATCCTAACAGTCCATGGCTCCAAATGGCAGCTCAGGGACAACTTTTTCTGATGCCGCCTCCTATTCTTTGCCTCCTTTCTGACCACTGACACGTGCTACAGTGCTTATTCATAGACTCTTATTTTTCATTCCCCAAATATCAATTCAGTTCTGTAAAACTTCCTTTTTTAAAATCTAAAGCCCGGACTTTCTTCCTTAAGGTCCCGACACCTCTCCAAAAAGGCCGGTTTCCTACATAAGCCGTCGACCGATACATATCCGTACCGGTACTGCGGGCAGAGATTCCCATGCGGTGATACCCACATTCGTTCAAATACTATTTTTGCTGATTTCTAAACTAGGCTTCCTTTCGCAAAGCTTGCTAAGCCAGGTATGTTGAGCACAGGATGAATTTCTTGCGCTTTCAAGACTCCTAATAACTTCCAGAGTTGTAAAGCAGATGCACAAGGGATAAAATCTGGTTTATGCCTTACATTGCACCCTTGAAAACAGGGCTAAACCAGCCCTCACTGATGCCCAAGCCCTGGGGAAAGAAGTAATTCTTAGCAGTAAGAGCATCAAACATTTTCCACATCACTAAGCCATTAGGCAAAATTTAGCAAGCCACTTCAATTACTCCTCTACGTTATTTTAAGATCAGTCAGAAGCCTAAAGAAATCACCACGCTACGTAAGAAATACAAAAACTTAATTGTAGAATTACATTTTAGAATAGAAAACAATACTGAAACAAACAAGATGTTTATTAACGTGGCAGTCATGAGTTCAGCCAGGTAACAAGAGAGACTTTAGCGTGTGAATGGCCCCACTGAAGGCAAAAGGCCCACTCCAGTATTTGAAGCGAGATGTTTGTTTCAATACTTCACTTAACTGTGACACCAATGTCGGCATTAAATGCCTTACTAAGAACCAAGTGAGAAACCTAGAGTCACTTACGTGCCTCCTGGCCTCAGGTCAAGAATACCACCGTGTTCTATGCCCTTTTTACTTACATGAAATCTCTGATCCACCTCATAGTTGACCTGTTTCCTGAAGTCCTTACCAACGAAACATACAAACACAGGAAGAGAAGAAAAAAAAAAAGCAGAAGAAAGCTAGCAATTAGGATGAAAATCAAAAATTAATTAATTCAAGAATACGAGAGGTACCACGATTGTTTACAATTGTAAATTAATTTTCTTAAGCGAATTCATCAAAACCATCTCAAATTTTAGAGAACAAAAACAGTGAAGAGAAAACTAAATATAGTTAATACAGCATTTAATTTGGGGAAAAAACACATCAAATGCCAATGCTATTATGAGCTAGAAACCGAAGAGTTCCGAGCAGCATGAGAGATATCAAAATACCTTTTGCGCTACAAGGAAAGTCAGCCTCCGAATCCCATGTTCAATCAGGACTGATTTCTGTAAAAAGGCAAGGATGGAGTCAGGTGACTGGATGAACAGAAAAAGAACACATCAAAACCATGTCAAAGACTGCTATGAACTGAAAAAGCTCTACAGATCCTCCCGCATCCGTGCTGTAGAGTTCCTAGTCCACTTCACTCTACTCATAGCAAAGATTTCTCATCTGATGATCGTCTAGTAGCACGCATAAGCAAACACATTAAATCTGAAGAGGTAAGTAACCAAATCCCAAGAACATAGTATTCCACCTGAGCCTCGCTAACAAGTAAAGCAGAAGAGTCATGTACAAGTCTTGCAGGAAATATTCTTGTTCATTTGCCAAAGCAAGTTGGTCTTTTTTTGCAGAGATTACTATTTGAAGGGAGCACAGCGTAGACATGGTAAGGCCGTGGAAAAGGAGTTCCGAAGGAACTAACCCAAGGAGGTGTGTAGCACGTACTTGATTTTGGCACAATAAGCACACAGACAACCCAGACCAACGGACAGATGTGTCAATACCGCAAAGGTGATAAATGATAGGTGTTACTTAGTTTTTTCAAATAGATGAGAGAATATCCATTCTGGTTGCTTCTTTATCAAATTCCACTAAGCCACATTTCAAATGAGTGCTGCCATCAGTATTTGCCACACCACTGATCTTTTGAAGTGTTAAGATCTCATCATTCTGCTTCTCTTTCTAAAACTTTTTCCTTTCTCCTCCTTTTTCCAATTTAAAAGCAAAGGGAGGAAAAAAAAAAAAAACCCGAACAACTAAAAAGAAACAAGAACTCAGCTAGTCCAGGAACAAAACAGCCCCTTTTGGCACAGACTGAAATGTTTTACTAAGGTTAAGCCCTTTGAAAATGAGCATCAGTGACTATATTCATGGCAAGAGAAAGAAAATAACTTTAATAATGCCATGATTTAAAAAGCAAAAATTGTTATTGCTTTTAAAATTCCACAAGTGGCAGACAATAACAGCATAGCAACAGGATTCTGATTACATCGTAATAATGTGGGTCTCACAGCAAGTCCACAGCTATTACAGAGCAATTAGCCATCAGCACCTGGAGAAACTCCATTTACACTGACTGCCTCAATCTCCTCCACAAGTCATTTACAAGTATATGATCCTAATTTCTATTAAAAAAAACACACACAACATGCTGGGACTAGAAGATTATTTGGACAATTTGGATCAACCTATTTGATAGTTTAATGTGTTCTGGAATTTTTTTTTTTTTTATTTCTTTCCTTTTATCCCCTCCCATAAAACGCCTGGAGCATGATCAAGGAGATGAAAAGCAGAACTACTTTTAATTTTTATATTCGATTATTTTCTTTGCTTAAAGAGACAGGAAGCTGCTGAAGTCGCGTGGATACCAGCCCCATTTTGGAACCCCTCATTTCTGCAGAACGTATCACCACCTCCCGCACTGGGAGGTGAAGTTAGAAACTACTCGCCCCGTGCTCCCCTAGTCATCGCAGGTACCACAGATGCAGCAGCGTCCCAGCGCCTGATGGGCTACTCGCATCCGCAAGCCAGTCGAGGAGCTCTTCACACCACCCAGAAAAGCAAGCGCAGGGAGATACCAGAGGGCAGCGTGGACACGAGGAGGCTAACCCCAACCCACGCCGTCTCACAGCTGACCACAGAGCTAACATTTGGTACTCTAAAGCATATCCCATACTTGTGAAGGAGCAACAGAACATACCAAATCAATTCTCCCCTTGTGCCAGAAATATCGTACTACGTGGATGCTCCAGCATGCCAACAAGAAGGAGAACAAACTTTAATTGCATCAAGACTATCGTGATACAGAAAACACAGACCATTTTAATGTCACTTGCCATGCCTCTGTTACTCATATAACAACTTTACCGCCAGGGAGAGGGATACAGCACATTTTTTTCAGAGCATCTGGAGATAGATACTGAAGATTGACCCGATGGGTTTAAAACCTTAAAGTTCTTCTACCCTATCAAAAATTAAAGGGAAGAAGTCCCGACCTGATGGATTAGAATGCACTGCAAAGAGAAACAATGACCTGGAAGCTTCAGAAAGGGACAGCTACATCCGGTCAAAGAAGTGGTAAGATTTTAGATGGGATAAATTAAGGGTGTAACTGTTGCATTTATTTGTTTACAAACAAAAACCTGAGAAACACACTGACTTTTCCCAAAGCAGACAGGATTGTCCTGCACAGTCACACAGTTCCAGAGAGAGAATCAAGGCAACTTACCTTGCTTTGCGTGAACTCTCGGAACATGGCTGCCAGCCCATCATCATCAACGTCACTGTCTGTTTTAATAGCAACATTAAGAATGTGAATGGGCTCCTCACGGGCAGTCTGCAATTTAAACAGAATAGTCCCCATAAATAAATAGTTAACACCTGTGAGTTCTCAAAAGAGGCTCCCTTAGTACAACTCTAAAATACAGGTGCCCTACGGAAAAATGACCTCAGCAGAGCATGGAAACTAAGGAAAACTAGGAGGAAAATCCTTGACCAAGCAGCTTCACAAATTTGTGATTTCACAGAAGTAAGAGTTAATGTCCACAAACAGGAGCTTCATTTGGAGAATCCAATTCTGACTGTCACATCTGACTTGGTTAACTCAAGTGTGCTTCATTTGGATGCAGAAAGAATGCAGGGTCAGGTCCTCTCTTTACAAGATGCAGTACAGGCAGGACATTAGAAGACTTTGGCATCAAGAAAGGTAATGAAATTAAGCAAATTCAAAGTGTAGGAGCAAAACAATGTGCATTTTCATATCTACAACAAAATGAAAGAATGTGGAAGCATCAATTACATTAGAGCTCTGAGAAATGACAAATTTAGCATTTAAGAGCCTGCAGTTAGCTGTGAAAAACTGAGTATGAACAGGAAATTATCCTTGGTGAGGTGAGGGGGAGGTAAAGAGAGAGATCTGAGGACATTAAGGTTGACGGTCATATTCTGGAACAAGGCTACAGTACTTACACCCATCAAGATCAATGGATCAGTTTAAAACCAAGCCCTATTCTGGACACCGCCTGTATTCCAACAGAGCTTCCCACTGTTGGGGGGGGCAGGACAGAGCAGTGGAGCGGCTACCTGTGTCTCTAAGGGAAATCGGTCTTCTGTCACTAAGGATTATAAACCATCTGCTTCCTCTGCACCTGTTCTCCACATCAATGCAAAAATTGAGGGGTTCCTCTCATCTTTTCCTCCTAAAAAGAATTCTAAGAGGTAGAACAGAGGGAAGAATCAGAATGTAACGTGACTAGGAAGGGTGTAAGACAGAAAATAAGGCAAGTCAGACTTAAGGTAAAGGCAGTTGAATATGCAGTTCAACACCCCGATGCACAGAGGAGGTCTGGAAACTTAATCATGGGTCTCAACTCTCAATTACGCTGCTGTGGATCCAGTAATTCTGCTGATGTTAAGAGCTACAAACTAAATTTACATGGAGAGTAAGAGACAGCCGTAGTTTTAGAACAGAGTCAGAAAAATGGCCACCTACTTTGAATCACCTGCTGTGGAACAAGCAAACAAATCACATACATAAATACAGAAAGCTCTTAACTCCTGCTTCCAGCACTCAAACCAGTGAAAAGTATCTAGCCTGCAGTCACTGCGGCATTCTGCACACCTACTTCCAACCCAAGGGCAATCTCATGAGAAAAAACTGCCGTACCTTGTCTTCATCATACAAGGAAGCATGGCCAGCTTCGGGGAAGGTTGGGCTCTGGGGAGGAGAGTCGCAGAAGCAACCCATCACTTCGTCAAAGATTCTGAAATACACCAGAGAAGTATTAGTCACCAGCAGGCGGCTGCTAGCCCACTGAAAGAATGTAGCACTAAAACCCACAAATCATGTTGCTAAGGAGGGGAGGGAGAGAAGAGGACTCCTTCCCTTTGCAGGACTGCAACTCCACAGATGCGGAGGCGATACCTCCTCCACCCCTCAAACCAAAGCAGAGCCTGGATCCTCTAACGTTTGTCAGAGATCTTATGGTCGCAGGCCCTCACGACTGCTGTGGGCTCTGCTGGGGCTTTTTTGCGTACCCCTAGAAGGCTGAAAGCATAAAAAACCCCGTATCCTCCCACATAGATTCACATGAACAAGAACGTTAGAAGAAATCAGCACATTTGCAAATGATCTCCAATCAGCAGAAATTCAAGATGCTGATCCTTCTGGCTGTAAACTGATCTTACAGCAGTCTGAAATTTTCAGTTATCTCAAGGAGACTGACAAGGGGATACAAACAAACTCCCACCTGAAACTCCCAGAACTTAGCGAACAAGCTCAGGACTAGTTTAAACCAGACTCTAGACAAGGCAAAGAATTTGTCCAGTTCCTTTCGGGCCCACCTAGGAAGCTGGCAACACAAACAATCATCACGCTTCCCCACGTACCTGACAAAATCTTCAAATGTGCGGAAGGAGACCATTCCACCCATCCGCTGGCACGGTGGAGTGAATGAATTGTCTAGCAGTACATCACTCACGCTAGCTACATGGACCATCCCGTAGTGATTGAGGTTGGAAGAGAAGGACATTCTAAACGGCAATTCAATAAGATCACAGTTAGTAGGGACAAGGGAGAGAAGAATATCACTGGAAAAAGATTTGTGCACGTGCATATGCTTTGACCACTTGAAGCGTGGCTGTTTATCCAGTGTAACTGTTGCATGATTTGTTAGGTTCTTCTGCATGCCAGTCCTGCCGCGCTGTCTTCTCCAAAGCCCCTGCGATGCTGGCACGCCTCTGGTGCCATTAACGCCCTTACCTGGACATCATCCCATTGTACAGGAACAGTTAAAAGAATTAGGAAATAATGTTATAACTCTTTAAAACAAGTGTTTCTTAAGGATTTTCTTGAGATGACAGGTGAATTATGACTAAGCGAAGCTGCATGTGTTTTTCCTCCTGTATATATGTTTTGCTTTACGGGGTTTTCTGTAGTCTTACGCTAGTATTCCTACCCTAAATAAAGTCCTATTACAGCGCCTTTCACTTTAACTGCTGACCAAATTAATGTGCTCCTCCATCTAATTTAGTCCATACTTTAAAAACATTGCCACTCTCCCTACTCATTTATTTTGCTCAGTTTTGATTGCTAAAAGGTGGCAGCTGCTAATGCAAGCGGTTGGCCACAGAACACATCTATCTTAAGGAGCAAGGAAGGCAGAGCTGCAGACACTTACTACTGTCATACTCGGGCCTGATGGCTGCTGTTCAAGCACTGAGATACTGCAGCACACACAGCACCCATACAGGGCCAACTCCTCATTTACATGAGCAGGGCTGGAACAGATTTACCCAAGCTCAGAGGAAGGCACTGAGTAAGGAGCTTCTATTTAAAGCAGGAGCACCGTTCACTAAAGGTCAGCGCTCCTTCCTGGCAGAGGGTAAGGTCCCGAATACATTAAAGGATCACTGAGTTCTCACACAGTTCAACTGCTACGGCAGCACACGCCAGCTGTGAAATAGTTTGTGTTCTTTTGGGGTTTGGACTATTATTATTATTTTTATGGTTTTTTAAAGACCTACAATGTTACGGTCAAGACTAGCAGAGGAAGTTTCTCACACAGTGAACAAAAAGCATACAACTAACTAGACATCCTTTCCCTAGCTACTAGAATTGGGTTTTGCCTTCTCTGCAATAATTATTTCTAATTTCTGAACTGTGCTACAGAGTCATCTTAATTCACCGAGGGACCTACTTCAAAAGCTCCCTGCAACATGGTGAGACCCTCAAGCTCGCTCTGGAGACAGAAATGCCGAGCTGGCACACAGCGGTGCTCTGCGACACAGGAACAGCGCGCTCCCACTGGCTTCGCTCTCCCCGGGGCTTAAGACGACATTAATGAAGTCAAGTTTCTGTCCTCCCCAACTGGTGCCACAACAGGAGGCAGAAGGCAATGGGGGGGAAAAAAAAACCCAAGGCGCTGATTCGGCACAGCACATGGTTGACTTACAACTTGTAAAGTCAAAAAGCTGCTCAACTGCCGTGCCGGATCGGCCGCCAGCGGCGCGGGAGGCAAAGCAGGGGCCCGGCCACGCTGGCTATGGCGCTGCTGCTGCCAGCCACGCAGGTTCGGGACCAAAGCGTGCACTGCTGACACCGCTACTTACCAGCTCTACCAGGACATCTTTCTTTCCACGTACAGAAAACCATTGTGATATGGTCTTAAGTATACTGTTAACAAAACCATTGTGATATGGTCTTAAGTATACTGTTAACAAGTCTAAAGTATCATCAGTTTGATTAATAGCTCTCCATGCTCAAAGTCACTCTATGTTTCCGTAATTTATCTCTGATTAAGGGCCATGAGACTTCCAAGCCCATTTTTACTATTTTTCCCTAAATAGGCTTGTAAGCAGTAATAAATAACAGGTATTCACGTTTTGAAAGAGAAAAATTTTTCAGGACATGCCTTGGTGTACATTTCTTACAACTAATACAAAAAAATACCACAGAACAGTAACTAAACAAAAAGACAGCAGACATTTTTCATGTATTATTTAAAACAAGAAATACTTTTCAACTGAGACATGGGAGGAAAAATTAGCGTCCAAAACACAACAAAACATGCTGTCAGCTGTTTGAGATGTAGATTCATCTATGGTGTGAGGGAGGTGAAACAGCCTCGACAAATTCTAAGCTAGTTGCAAGAAACCAGAGTAGCAACAGGTATGCTATCGGCTAGGAGTAACTGCCTGTTTCACTGTGACACCCTACCAGAGGGTCAACAGCTGGGAATCCGGTTCCAAAAAAGAGACCCTAGAAACAGCATTCTGCTAGAAGTTTGCTGTGTACCATACTGCAGATGAGCCGAGTCACCTGGCAAATTTAATTTTAAAGATTGCTGCATGCAAAGCTTTTTTAAAGGGCAAAGAAAAGCTGAAAACATGTTTTAGACAAAGGGAGAGGAAAAGGGAAGGAAAAAGGAGGAGTTATGTTTGAGTGCTTCCCAAGTAAAGATAAGGGCACTAAAACAAAACATGTTAAAACATTAAGTACTAGACTACTTCTTTCTAGTCTGTCTTTTCAAATTTTAAAAGATGACAAGTACCATACCTGTTTAGCGTGGGGATGTTCCCTCTGTAATCAAACAACCACAGTTAGTTACAGATTGGTTAGTGAAAGCCATAATACAGAACTATCATCAAGCTGATACACAGACCAGCAACAAGTTTACAATTTACTCAACCAAAATTTGTCAACCATCAGGTATCAGGCAGAATTCAATTTCATTGACCCTGAGAAGGCACCCACCACCTGACTTCGCTTGCCACGGCTGCCATGGGAATAAGCACAGACCATGCACGTAACATGCAAATAAGACACCCCGGGAAAGCACGTTGTATTGGCAAGGTACCCTGCGTTTCTACAGCATCTTGCGTCGTACCCACTCCAAGCCCTTTGCACACACCGAGAGCTTCACGAGGAAGACCAGCGAGGGGAGTTTGCGCTCCCTGACAAAAGGCAAACAGCACAGACGCAGAAAGCGATGATATCGCACAGGAAGACTGCAAGAGGTTCAGGAAAACGAGCCAAATCCTCATGGCCAAACCTCTCCGCTAAGCAGCAGCCCACGCGCTGGCTCCCACAACAATGCAGTAATAAAGCAAACACACACATAAACACCACGTAATAGTTTGCATTTTCAGCGTGCAAGGCCTTGAATACCAAAAAGAACAAGCAGGACTTAAGGCTAATTTTAGGAAAATTTTACAGTTCCTTTTATAACATCAGTGCAACTCTTCACATCTTTGCATGCAGACGGAGGCTTAGTGATGCAGCACATAAAGGCAGCGAGGGGCACATTTTCATACCAGCATAAAAACAGCACGGTCTAGCCCATCCTAGCTACAGTCATGAAAGCATAAGGCAGCACATTGCTCCATGCGAGATGTAGAAATTGCTGTGATCTGACATTCCAAATAGTAAAGATTAAATTGAAAAAAAAAAAAAATACATGCACACAGGATGTTTGTGCAAAGAGATTAGCAAACATGAAGAGATTGAAAGCAAAGCTTCAGGGACCATGTGGCTGGACATTCACCCGCCCCTTCCCTGCAGAAACCTGCAGGAGATCAAACCACAGACTTTCTTAACATCCTGGACCATAGGCAAGACCCCAAGTTACAGGGCATGAAGTCTTGGCACCTAATGCTCAGTGTGTTTCCATGGTCACACCGCTAAATACGCTGACTGCACCCGGTCCTGTTCTCAGACTGGTTTTATCACAGCAGTCATATTCACTACATGGTTGTATGTTTGGTGCACTGCTGGTAGAGGCACGAAAAGTTCCCGTGATCCCCTTAAGCCACACAGGAGAAAGCACAAAACAGCCTAAAGATGCATCTGTTCCATGGTAAATAACACAAGTATTTAATTTCATCCGGAGGCAGTGGGGAGAGACACTGTGCTGTAGAGCCTGTGGTTAGGACCAAAAGGGCCACGATGCCTCAGGGGGTTGAGATTGCTTTTTTTAGCTTAGCAAATGGTGGGAAAACTGCATGTGATCTACTTCAGTTGGAAAAAATAGTCTGGAGAGGACTGGCAGTTCCTACACCTGGTACACTTGTGTAGCGGTCCCTGGAACGCTTTCAGAAAACAGAAAAAAACCCAGCATAACAAATGTTCCTTTCCGTCTCAAAAAAGGCACCCTGTTGCCTTGCTCCAGGAACTGTTCTCAAGCCTCTCGGTACGGAGCTGAAGAGATTACGGCAAGAATCACAATGAGGAAAACAGAAGACCCAGTAGCTGGAGATCTCGGAAAAGAACGGAGGAACAGTCTTCAAGCTGCACGCTACGGGGCTGGCTTTGCATCTACAGGTCACCAGAGCTGCGGAGTGCTTTTTCGCATCAGGAGCTGGATTGTCGCTTGCCACTGAAAGGCACTAAGAGGTAAAGGTTTGATATTTGCAGCACAATCAGGCCTTGTGAAAAGGCATTCCAGTCCACTCACTGAGCTTCACCTCTGCAGCTCTGACAAATCAAACACCAGCTGCAAGCCAGCCTGCTCGGCCTTACGGCGACGTCAGTGCAAGGAGCAGCACCACGGTTCTGGGAGCTGAATAAAGGCACAGCTGATGGAGCACGCACCGGCAGCGCTCGCCACAGCCAACTCCACACAGCTGATCGCAACGTCAGGAACCTTCTCGCCACACCAGCCCCGGCCCTTCTCCCTGTCTCTTTTGAACTTGGAAAAAGGCCCTTCTTGACCAGGGAAGCTGATCCCACCAGGACTCTGCTCCATACCGATGCAAGCTCTACTGCCACAATTACTCCTTCTGCTCAAGCAAACAAAAATCCCCTTAGTGGACCCCTGCACCTCCTGGATGAATCTGGATTTGTCTCCCCTTGCCCCTCCCCATTTTTTTTTAAACAAGAGCATTCCCCTATGAAAATGATGGCAATGCATGCAAAGCACCACTGGTTATATCAAGCTGTGATTGAGTGCCAGCGCAGGGCAAAGCTTTTGAAATCAGGCAGCAAAGCGGAATCAGCAGAGGTCGGCTGAATAACCCACTTGTAGTTATTAACAACAGTACCACAGGAGAAAGAGCAATTCCACTGGCTGTGACCAGTGGCATTCCTCTTATGTTTCTTCATTTCTGTAGAAGAATCTAAACAGAAGGCTGTGAAACATGCCTCAAACCATACATTTTGATTGGGTTTTTCCTCTCCCTCTTTCTTTCCTTATTCTTCTGCTCCCTCTGTGATTCAGCCAAGCTGAATCTGCTACTGAAGTCTAATTTGCATAAAATTATCGTCGTTCCATTCAGTTTGCTGCCCCTTCAACAGCCCCTTCTTTGCTCTGTTGGAAGATTTTGCCCTTTCTGAAACAGGCAAGCCAAGGGAACTGCAACACATTACTGCTGCCTGCTGTCTAATTAACATCAAACCCTCAGCACGGAACTGCAGGGATTTACAGGTGTCCTGGAATAATTTTCCCCTCCTCCCGCCTGATACCAGCCCGTCTTCTGCAACAAGGAGGGGACCTCAGGCTACCTAATGATACACTACGAGTTATACACTCAGGTCTCCAGGCTCGTACGGTTAGAGTCCAAAGCAGCACAGCTGATTCGATACTAGCAATCCAAAGACTGATGCAAGAGGCTGTTTTAGCAACTACTGTAGTCCACAGAAAATGCTTCCATTTTGTCAGAAATTCGAATCTTATATCATCGTAAAATGATAGTAGGAAGGAACCTATAAACGCTGCTCTAAGTGTGGGTTTTGGTTTCTCATTCTTCTGTAAAAAACACTGTCTGGAAACAACAGTATTTAATTTGGCTTTCAGCCTTCAAAATGGTTTCTACCTGTAAGCTAAGGAAGAGGCTGACAAAAAAGAATAACCAAAATTCTCCATAGATGATAAAACATCAAGAGACAGCAAAGGAGAGATCATGCAGCACTCTTAAGCCTTGAAATCAGCAACATCGAAGTCCACGTAGGGTGTCAACAAATATCCACAAGCACAGAAAGAGGAGATACTGGGCAAAACCAAGCACAAGATAGTTAAGACATTTATATTGATACCCTTGGAAATACAAAGCAACTAATGACTAGACTTGAATTCCACGCCGGGAAGCATCGCAGACAGCAGGATGCAGTCCCAAGAATGAATTCAACCTAGACAAATCCAAGTAAGGCATTTGCCTGTACGGCCGTGTTTGCCGAGTTGCGTGCATTCCCAGCTCCAAACGCAACTAGGGTTAGCTGGTATTAGACACCTTGTTCATCAAGTTTCGAAAGTAAAACTTGCTTTAAAGCTACCCAAGCCAATTATCAAAACTTAAAGCCTTCATCTGCAGTGCTAAAACCTTCCTTCACTTCCAGTGGCACATCCTGACTCAAGATTCCCCAGGATGTCTCAAGGCCAAGTGTGGCAGGGGTGGCACATGGGATGAAAGGAAGGCGTGGGCTCAATGCACAAATGGATTGGGAAGGCGTGGCTAAGGCATCAGAGTGAGCAAAACAGGCTCAGTTATATTTCAGTTTTCTTTGGGGCTCGACATATTCAGAAGGCAGAGCCCTGTGGTATCATTGCCATACCCCAAAATAAAGATATATCCAGCATCTCTAAGTCACCCTTGTCAGCAATTGTTTTGGCATCTGACAGAGGGACACGTTTACCTCCGAGTAAAACAGAGGGATCTGCTTTGTGGGAACACATTTACTCCGAGTTCTTCCCTTCTGATCCTCCAGCACATCTGCTACTGGGGAAGGAAAGATCAAGAGAGCAGCTGAACAAGCTGGCTGGGGGAATGCAGCGAGCTGGAGAAAAGGGGATGCTTTAGGAGGAGCAGTGCAGCAGCATGATTCTGCAGCAGGCTCCAAAAGCTGGCTACAGCAGACAATGTCCCAGTTTAATTTAAACCTTACAGCTCCAGACATAAGAAAGGCTGTTCGAAAGCAGGAGAGGAGAGGGGGATTATTAGAAAAAAACCTTCTCCTGTTGAAAAAGCACTATAATTCCCTCTCCCTATACTAGACACACAATGTTTCTTTGAACAGAAGATTTTAAGCTAAGATTAGGCAAGCACTGTTTCATGTGCTGAACACCTAAGAAAGGCCTTTCAGTGTCCGTCACCTGGCTTGCCATTCTCACAAAGGAAGCTGAACTCTCTAAACACAGTCAATATTCCACCAGCTTCCCATCTCAGCAGGGCAGTCTGAACAAGAGGGAAGCAAAGAACAGCTCAGAACAGGGCTCATTTCTTTCTCACATCTTTTCTCACCAGGACTCTGGATGACTGAAAGAGGCAGGTTATCCAAATGCAAGGGGCTCCGCACATAAGCATTTGTTTGCAGTACCCTGCTGCAGCATGTAGTGATCAGCATCCTGTAGATACCCTTGTATCGCTTCCTCCAGATTGGATTACTGCAACGCCCTCTACTTGGAGACGGCTTGCAAACTCCATTTACTGCAAAAGGCACCAGATGGTTACACTGTGCTCCTCATCTGCCTTGCACCGGGCAATAAGGAATGCTGGTTTTGATCTATAAAGCCCTCTATGGTTTCAATTATAAGCAGTTTTTCTCCCTATGTCTTACCCTCGCAATCGGGATCAGTGGGGATTCTTACAACAGGATGTTTTCTATTAATTTCAACAAATAATTCCCAAAACAGTTTCTGCCCACAAAACCCACCAGGAGCAGGTTGCGTTTCTATGACTTTATTAGCAGATTTAACAGTTTTTCTTTCCTCTCTGTTTCCATGTAAAGCTTTCCTGTGGGTAGTTGATGGCAATCATTCAGCGGCCAAAAATACAAAGTCTGAGTGCCTAGCTGTGATTAGTCAGAACAGAAGTTGTGACTGTGATTGTTTCTGTTACAATTAAGTAAAGGCATAGCGGGGTTAAATACCAAATAATTTAAATATAGCAACCATTACCAGTTTGCAATTTTCTCTACATGAATTATTTGCTCCAATAAAATTCAGGCCCTTAAATGTTCACAGAAATCAGACACAAAAGGGAGCGGGGCTTAAAATGTCTGATAAAGTGCTGAAAAATGTGTGCCGTCATACAACTAACACCAGCTCCAAAAGAAAATGCTCTTGTAAAGGGCTCTCTGGTACCTGCTCCTGGTTCACCAGGACCCAGCCCTGCAGAGCCTCAAAGGACATTTTGCTTGGTCCAGCTGGGGTAGTTTGGCTTTGGGGTTTGTCCTTGGAATGCATTTTTAGCTTTTCAGTCTAAAAGTTCATGCTACAGAAGATACAGAAAAACATACGATGGACATAGAACACGGTCAAAACCAACAAAGACGACTTAAGCAAGACAATGTCAGAGTTTTGAGATTTCTGTGTCTTGGGCTTAACGCAAGGTCTGCCTTTACAGCTAGCTTAAATCTACACACTCGGTGCTAATTTAAGACCCTAGCTGTCCTGCTACCGGCTGTGCTTCAGCACTCAGCCACCCAACAGCCACACAAGTAGGTCTACGCTGCAAGAAGCTGCATCAAGCAACAGGAGCCAAATTCGTCACTAACAGACGGAGGTGCAACTCCAAGGAACTGAACCTGGCTATGCAAGCAGTGAATCTGTCCCCAAGCTTGCTTGCCTCTGCGCAAGGACTGAGATGCATTTTCAGTCCACCATCAGCAGCGCCAATGGCTGAGAAGCAGAACTGAGCTTCAGAACATTGCCCCAGCGAATTCAGCGTAAAGGGGAGCGGAGATTTCAGGACAAAGAAGCTGCTCCCCAAGCAGGTTAACAGTTCTCCTCTTCCAGCTGACCTTGTCCAATTAAGCTGGCACACAGGAATAGAGCAGTGGTCAGCATGGGCAGGCCAAACAACCCCCAAGCAACAGAGGTAACTGAGACCAGCAAAGAGAAGACATGAAGAAAGAATGGGTGGGGAGGGAGAGTATTATAAAGGGGTACTAAAAATAGTATGCAATTATTTACAAATATTCGAGAAATGTAGGAAACAGATGAGACCAAATGCACGTCCCATTTGTATCATGAGTGTTTTGTGCTGCTTGTTGAGGACAGTCATTCGTTTCTAGCAAACCAGATTCTGAAAACCATTTCATAAAATGTACTGATGGATTCTCAATGAAGCGAGACTGGACCCCATTGCCCAGCCCCACCAAAAATAAAATAAGGAAAAAGATGTTTGGAAACAAAGGAGAAAAATAGCACCGGTACCATACTGCCAAACCAGCACAGATCAACAGTGGCACCCGGCGGCCACGGAGACTCACTGCGCCTCTTGGCTCCAGCACGCTCTCCCCTGCCTGGGACAAAAATAAAATAGCGTCTAAAATACCCTCCAGAGTTCCTGTTGCAATTGAAAAAACATGGGAACTGACTAACCTGACAGATGCTGAAGAAGTTCTGATAAACAAGTTTGGGGATTTTGTCTTTAAAATGATCTTGGCACACGCTAGGAGATGCAACCCTTCTTCTCTAAGATAGGGCAGCGAATAGTTGATGCTTTTGGTTGCAGTCATGAGAAATACGTTCTGAAAAATACTGACTGAGAACCGAAGTATGTCAGCTCTAGCATTTCTATGTAAAATACATTCGTACGTGCATCTTGGTCTTTTCAGTCAAAAAACCACATGCTACAAAAGATTTCACCTTATCCGGTGAAGCCGGGTTTGAAAGTAGAGCCAATCACAAACAGTTACAAAGGGCTGGCCGGGGAGCGCCGCAGGAAGGGGACAGAGGCTGTTTGACTGTTCTTTATTAAAATTCTGAGTAATTGATTATTCTGTCTGGAATTGTGTCTCTTGGAAGGCTTGGGATTCAGCTAGAACTGAAGTTCTAGAGGAAAGTTACTACACAAGCTGAACTTAAAAATCAGAAAATACATGAAAACTGTATCATATTTACATTAATCCAAACTGCAGAAACTACTACCCACAGCTCCTGAGGTTTTAAATAACTTAGGAGAAGGAACTGGGTAATGCAGGGGTTTCTCTTAAACAATTTGTGCTTATTTGAGGCACTGGAACTCTCCCTTTCTCCACCAATTCTACTGCAAGTTTTCTTTGCCAAGACAGGACGTAGCCCCTCGTAAACCTCCAGTTCCAAAGGCAGCTGAACACGCGAACTGACCTGTTCGGATGGGAGGTAGGCAGCATGAACTGGAACTCCACCACGCAAGTGTTATCCTTCAGCTGGCGATGCTGGACACTGTTTAACTCGTAGGCAATATACGCCCTTCGAACGTACACCTGGTTAGAGAGAAACTCGATCAGCTTAACTGTGCTAAGGAAGCAGAAAGAGAGAAAGACAACAAATGATAGACCAGAGACTTCAAAAATATTAAAAACCAAACAGACACCTCCAACTGAATATCTAGATAGAACTCTAATTCAACCAGAATTTAAAGTTATTCTTTGAGGAAGGCCAGTCTGGCAGGATACAGCCATCAGCACAAGGCACACAGCGTAGACTGACCACATTCTGACAGCAGCTTCACTTTCAATCCTTTCAACCACCTAAATCTTCTTCAAGCAAAGAAGATAACCTGAATCTGAAATTTCAGTCAATTATGGATATTAATGCTGTTAAATGCCAGGCTCCAAGTATGCCAGATTCCACACAACCTACAGCTCTCAGCCTTGCAGGGTAACAGTGCTCAAAACAAAACAAAAAACAACCCCAAAACAAAAAAACCACAGAAAAATGAAAAATATTTATTTTTTCAATGGGAATAAACTTACCTCCAAAGCTGCCATTCTTACCACCTGGTTACTGTGGTAGAAGAAGTTGGGTAGCACATCAAAGATGGATGTCTCAGACAAAATGAGTTTCTAGAAAAGATCACATTAAGCAGAGTTTTAAAAGAGAACTGCCTGTCTTGCAAACAGGCTGAGGCAAAGAAGCAAAAACCCCAAATCAAGTCTGACCAGTTCCGATTTCTATGCTTTTCCTGTTGTCCATCAAGGATTACGACCTTTTTACATTAAATCATAGAATATCTCAAGTTGGAAGGGACTCATAAGGATCACTGAGTCCAAATCCCTGCTCCTCGCAGGACTACCTAAAACTAAACCGTACGACTAAGAGCATCATCCAGACACTCCGTGAACTCTTGACAGGCTCGGTGCCATGACCTCCCCTGGGGAGCCTTTTCCAGGGACCAGCCACCCTCTCAGTGAAGAATCTTTTCCAAATATCCAATCTGAACTTCCCCTGATGCAGCTTCATCCCATTTCCTCGTGTCCTATCGCTGGCCACCAGAGAGAGGAGATCAGCAGCTCCCCCTCCACTGCCCCCCTTGAGGAAGCTGTAGACCGCGATAAGGTCACTGTGATATCAGTGTAGGAATAAAAACAAAAATGAGGGGGAAGCTAGAAACCAGAACGATACAATTTAAAGCCATAAGGACCTTGGGACTACAGGTGAGATTTAATACAGAAACATTAAGCTCAGTGAGAAGAAAGCAGGGAAACAAGGAGAGAAGTTTGGTAGATACCTGCAGGTTCTCAATGCAGAACTGGTGGCCGTACATGTCAATAGCGGACAGGAAGATGGACTCCACCTGGTTGTGACGCAGCTCGTAGGATGGCAAATGGGAAGCAATGAGAACCTGGTGAACAGCAAACACAAGGAGCGTCAGCGAAAGGAGCGCTGCTGGGCCATCGGCAGGAGGCCGTTACCTCCAAGGCAGCAATAGTCTGCTCCATCCCAGAAGAGGTGACTGGTTTCTCCTGTGAATTCTATGGCACCTGGGTGATGCTGCAAACCCTCTCCCCTCCCCAGCCTCATTTGTGTATCTGTTCGGTTTGTATTATTGGCAATTCCCCATGGAGAAAAGGAACAGCTTCAATCAAGTTCCATCAGTGCATGTGATTTAGCACTGCGGAGCTGCTAGTCGTGGGGATTGCCTGACCGGCTGTTAATTGGAAAGCAGATCTGGTAGGCAGCAGCTGTGGGGAGGCCAGCAACAGAGACCGCCTTTCACAGCTTCCGAGCAGAGGAAGCAAGAGACACTGGTGCCAGGTATTAAACGCCCAACATGAAGGATACGGAGATAGGAAGGAGAAGCAGCTTGCAGGGGAAAATGAAGTGAAAGAGCAACATAAAGACATACACAAGGACTGCAGCACCGTCCCCAGCATGCTGCCAAGAGCTTCAATAACTGAACGGTTCAAGGACACAAATACAATCCTGAAGGAAACATAAGGTCACTGAGCAGCTTCAAATGCCCCATTCATTTTCAACAGTCAAGCTCTGAAATAAAAGGAGCGATCCCCAAAGTGTCAGCTTTCCCGCTGAAGACTTTTAGAATGCAGATAGGGACCGCGGAGTGAGAGGAGTGATCAGGCTACAGGGTCACCATTACTGTGAAACGATTATGCCCTCTCACTCCTTCCTGGCTACAGACTAACTGCGAAAGAGGAAGCTCACAATAATATCCAGGTGGATAGCTGGCATTCAAATTATCTGTACCAGGCTCTTGGAATTGACAGTATCAAGAGTTTGTCCAATTATTTTCAGGTTAAAAAGAAATTGACAAAACACAACCCAACAGCTAGAAGAAACCCCGCCAAAGACCAACAGAAATCTTTGCAATAAGTCCTTAGCCATTGCGAAGAACATCTGGTTCCTGTGTAACCTTCTCTCCCTGTGCTCTGCACACACTGATTCACAATCGTAAGGCAGCTGATGAACCCGGACAGCATGTCCTGGCTGTTTACCGTACAACTGCCTGCACGTTCCAGGGTTCATCGGGTTCACAGATTATAAAGCCAGTAGGAACCACAGAGACCATGTATTTTGCCTTCCTCTATCGCACAAACCATATGCTGTTCTCAATTAACTCCTATTTGAGCCAGAAAAAACTTTTTTGGAGGAGCAGGGACAAAGGAATGTAGCCTTAACTTCAAATTTTACAGTGATTGGGAATCCACTGCAATCTTTGTCAGACTGTCACGACGGTTAATCATTGGTTAATTAGCTTCATTGTTAAAGCGCTGCTCACGGTAATCTACTCCTCACATTTGCATAGTAATCAAAATAAACATCAAGAGATACAGACTTTCCAAAAGAGCGAGCTCCAGGCGGGAGCAGCCCGTATTGATCTGATCAGCAATGGCACAGTCCGTCTCCAGCAGGGATCAGCTCGGACTGCTCAACGCACTCCCTCACCTGCCGTGCTCGCAGGGCCACTTTCGCGTTGGTTGTCTTGCTGAGCTGGGTCAGCTCTGTCAGAATATTAATCAGCTCGTCTGTCAAGGTGGGGTCACGGCCACATAGCTGGTCCTAAAAGAGAACTGAAAATGTTTACAACAGAGGAAAACCATCTTCCGTCCTCCCACAAAGGAGTTTAAACCTGAAATACATACACATGGACTCAGGTGCTGGGCCACATCACCTCTAGAGGTCTGTATCTAAATTATTCTGTAATTCTGTGCTGACAAGGGTCCAAGTTATTAGGCTTATACACATATTAATAAAGCTAAAGAGGAAAGAAGGGACTGGCACCATCACCCGTTTTCTTATTTGTAGCGTGTGTTTTGGCATCCAAACGCATGAGAAATACTGACTTGTCAAAGAGACTCAGGTAAAACATTTTCCCATTACCCAGTTTCAGCTTTGTACCAGAAGTCTCCCCTAGCAGCAAAGCAAAATTCAAAGAGCATTTAATTGTTTTGAAATGACTTGTGTAGCATGCAAAGATTAGCAAACTTTCACTGTGAAAGGTGACCAAACAGAAAGAGTTTAACTGGTGGGAGAACCTCCTGAAGTCCACTTAAAAAACACCTCAAAACAAAAAAACCAGCACAACTCCACAACCACAAACCAACCACAAGCTTTGTACAGCTTCAGCAACACCAGGAGAAAAAAGATCTGGTCATTCTTCTAACAAGGCTAAGCAAAGCTAACTAAAGCCATAAATGATACAATGCATTTCTTGCCGCAGTACAGGACTGACTCCATAATATTTCTTCTAATCAGAGAATCCTGGTTCTGAGGAAGTTCACTAGCTTACTTTACTGTCTGAATTGGCTGGATAAAACAATAAAACCGAACAGCATAATTTTCTGTGTTAATGCTGCTTCAGAACTCTTTGGGATTCAGCCATTCAAAAAAAATACAAACAGTAAAGACTTTAATTGGTTTTGTTTTCTGAACAGAGGAGGTGCACTCTCATGCACGCTTTATTCCAAAAATAGTTTCAATTCTCATGAATAATCCCACAGTCTTCAACTACTCACACTGGCTTGTGAGCCTCTTGCCTCCCACTGCTGAAGCCAGAAACCCTCTAGGAGCCTCTAATGTTTCTTCTATACAGCACTTCACAGCTTTTCTCTTGGTAAATGCGTAATAGGAGGAAAATGTGAGATGAAACAGGTATTTGCAACAGCAAAGAGAGCTGGTGCCTTAAACTTTGAAGAGATTTTAAACACATACAGTCCAGAAAAGGCCCTTTGAAGATCCAAGAAATAGAAAGGGAAAAAAGGGAAACCTCTGCACAGCAGGTTAGATCGATAAGCCTGCCAAGGAAAATAAAGTAAAAAACAAATAATACAAGACCCATAGACTGACTAACAAATAACAGCTCATACTACATGCGATTCCAAAGCTAAATAGCTTTTCCACCCCTTTCTCTCTGCCCCCGCTCAAGCATGATGCCATCTCTAGGAATGATGGCATACATCTCTCAGGGAAAGTTTATCAGCTTCACAGGTCATGGAACTAATGACTCTTATTAAAAAAAAAACCACCAAACCAAAACTCTAAGCTACTAACTCTTATTAGATTGTTGTCCCCTACTAACCAGTCTTGGGCCAGCAAACATTACAATGATTGCTCCCAAAGAAAGTTCTGTAAACGTATCCACTCCAGGTCACTGTCTGAATTCACAGTGAATAATTCAAGAACCTGCGTCTTATTTGAAATACAAATTCCTGGGTGTTGTAATGTTACTGCTCAAGGTAACAAAAATCCAATAGGACACAGGACATCTGCCATGCCGCAAGCAATTCTGTCCAGTTAAAGCTAGGATGTGCATACAACAGTCAGTTAAGTACATAAAATGAACATACAACTTCAAATCACACTATATTTCACCAAATATATGAAGGATGAAGTAGTTCCCATCCTGCCTTAAACGCCTGCTAGCTAAAAAAGGTGAATGATGGCAGCATAACGCTATTACTAAAACCATCCTCAGAGCCCCTTGTTAATAATGGATTCCTAGGGATACATCAATAACAGCAACATAAGCATCAAGGGATTTTGACATGACGTTTGCCCTTGGAGGACAAACTTAAACCATCCCACATAAATAGCTTGGCAACCCATAAAATGCCACAGCCTTCACCATGATTACACCAAATGTGCCACGGGGTCCCTCAGACGTGAAGAGTAATGCGAGTCGGAAAAAGAGGAATGACGGTCTTTCTGGTTAACGGCGCGGCCTGTAACTCAGCAGACGGCAATCCCCAGCCGTGCCACAGATGACACCGCGACCAAAGGCACGTCGCCCCTCCTGAGCCCCCGTCAGCCACTCGATCCGAAGTCACACGAACGCTGTGTCACGGGGCGAGCGGACGCCCGTTTGCACGGCCTTGGGCACCACAAATGGCGCACGGATCAGCAGGACTTGGTAGTGTAGGTTAATGGTTGGACTGGATGATCTTAAAGGTCTTTTCCAACCTCAACGATTCTAGATTCTATCTTCCACCACGTGCAGCATGGTCTCTCCAGTGTGTCTCAAGCTCTATCAAACTGGGGTGTTGGCCTTTACTCAAGCAGAAGTAACTGACAGTGGTGGGGACAATGACTACACAGGAAGGAAAGCTCCTTGACGTTTCTCTGCGTTCCCCATCTCCCAGCACGCCCCTCGCTCCCTCAGACAGGCATCGTGCCGGCCAACGTGAAGACACAGCAAGGCTCTGCATCCGAGACACGGCTGGCGCGGAGGTGAAAAACTAGACAAAAAGTTTCGGTCCCATTTTAGCAAGAAATAATCAGGATGACAACAACAAAATAAAGCAGGTAGCTGGCGCGGCACTGGCTTTTGCCTGCACTGATTGGCAAAGGCAGCAAGCAAAGCCTCAAACCAGCTCTTTGACAAGGCCTAACGCCTCCCCGGCACCCCCGTGTAATTACACACTTGAGTGACTGGACTCTGAAGAAAATTGAAGGCCTGAGCTGCGAACAGCTGCCATTTTCTCTCTCCATCACGCCAGCATGATTACTTGAGAAATGAACAGCCCCGGCTCAAAGCTACTCCAGAATTCTCAGAGGAAATATGGCTCCGTGTTCAAATAATGAGATTCTTAAGGCAAGCGTTACTTACAATCACACCACACACCAAAAAGGGAAAGGGGGGGGGGGGGGGGGGAGAAGGGAAAAAAGGAGTGCCAGAAAGAAAGAATGCCAGGGTCTTTATATCTTACAAATTAGAATTTAAGAAACCCAGCCTCAGCCTAGGACAATTATGACTCTTTTTCTGCTTTTGAGAGTTATTTTGTGGATGGCTACTTTGGACATATTTTTGGCAGTAACAGACCACATTATGTTTGTAAAGAGAAAAAAAAAAAAAAAGAAAAAAAGAAAAGGGGAGGGGAAGAGACAGAGAGATAGTATTGTAATTAGCCTCTTAAAAAGCAGGACACCCAACTCCAGTCTGTTGAAAATCATGTCATAGCTAAATTCATCCTGCCTCAAGGAAAGTGGGCATTCATTCTGCTTCACAGCATTATGTGGGACAAGGATTTTTTGAGGCTTTTTAGGAAACAGGAAAAAAGAGACAGGATTCAATTTTTTTAAAATTAGAGAGATAGTATTGTAATTAGCCTCTTAAAAAGCAGGACACCCAACTCCAGTCTGTTGAAAATCATGTCATAGCTAAATTCATCCTGCCTCAAGGAAAGTGGGCATTCATTCTGCTTCACAGCATTATGTGGGACAAGGATTTTTTGAGGCTTTTTAGGAAACAGGAAAAAAGAGACAGGATTCAATTTTTTTAAAATTATTTTTCCCAGGAATGCAATTTACTGGGAGTTTTACCCATTGGAGTGGGACTGAAGTTAATGAGAACTGAGATTTTTTTTCATAGAGTAACAAGCCAGAAGAACATGAGAAGGTGATGGCAGGTCCTGGTATGAAGATTCATTTATGTTTCTAGGGTGGAAACTATGTCTGTCCAAGAGGAATTCTGACCCCAGGAGATTCCCCATCCCTTTGCAAGCCCCCTGGACAGCCGCACACCATCCCAAGGGTCCGAGGCCTGATCTGGAGTGACCAGCTGTGTGCTGAGATACTGAGTCCTAGTCAGAGTCCATCATGCAGCCCAGAGTACAGCCGGTCCTAAAGCACCACCGCAGACCCGAGGTAAGACCTTCCAAGACTATAGCCAGGAAGAAGCTAAGAGAGCCACTGCCAAACCTGCAAGACCAAGCTATGGCTCATCAAGGAAGAGCATCTGAAACCCCTCAAGGGCCTCCACATGGGCTGGCTAATGCCACTCACTTCACCCTCATTAGTAACGAAGGACCATACAAATGTTGCTATTATGGAATTATTAACACAAAAAAATCATCTGCTTTTTGTGCTGGTAGCATATTGCTTTGCTTTCCGAACAACTCCAGTTTGAGTACCATGAGCTATATGAAGACAGGACCTGTCTGAGACCCCTGAAGACAAAAAAGCAAACTAACCCAAGTATAAAGTCACAGCCCAGCACCTGAAAGTTAGCCTCCAGCATCCTCCCAATGCAAGAGTTAAGAATGCATTCTTATCTCCCCACAGATGCTCACAAATCACTTGCATAATTAGCCTTCATTGCACTCTTATAGGCAATCAATGCAGGACAGTCATGAACCAGAAGGTGCACAGGCATGGAGCTGAACAGTATGTTCTGGGTCTCCTCTAACGCATGGCTTATGTGCCATATGAACACACGAAGAAACTCCACGCTGCTGCCACTGCTTCGGTAGCTAGAAGGCTTGCGTTTTTGAGGATGAGAGCTGTCAATTCAGTACCTTTCAAAGCATCAAACGTACAACTACAAGCAGCAGCAAATTTCTAGAGCACCAACAGACAACTTACAATGAGCATTGTAACAAGCAGGTTCTTCTTGGTGACCTGAGCATGTGAGAAGATGTAGTTCAATACCGCATTCATATCACTTTTGTTCTCTTCCCGAAGGGTAAAGACACACTTGTCGTAGTGACCTGCAATCAGAAATGCACATTTTTTTTCCAGTCTCCACACCTCTGTGTCAAGGAATACAAGTTACTAGACATGTCTTCATTTTTCTACATATATGTTTTGAGAATCTACATTACATGGTCCACACAATCAATTCTGGGAAGAAAGCATTCCTCCCACCACCACCCCATCAACTGCAAACTTTAATTTAAACATCCTGCTCTTATTAAAATAGCTCCAATACCAAATACCTCCTTTGTGAGCAATACAAAGAGAGGAATGCTGAGCTCAGTCTTTCATTCAAATGACACCCAAAATAAAACAACAGCAAAGAGACTTGCACCGTCCTCTACTACCAGCAAATTGAAGCGGAAACCAATCTGCAGTGCCATTAGGCTGCTGCAGGTATAGGAGCAGGACAAAAAAGTAGAGCAGAATCTGAACTACCTGTAAGAGCTAGAGGCTCAAAATTAGCTAGTGCTTCATTGCCATCTTGTGCCTGGATACAGCAGTGCAATGCATTTATTTCAATTCCCAGTTTCTGGCTGAGGTTTGAAGTTTGTTCTTATGAACAGCAAACAGCTTCCTGGTAATTTACAACAGGTGTAAATAACTCAGTGACTTTTCTTTTTAACTGCACTTGATTTTCTTACTATAGAATTAAATAAACAGGCAAGATAGAACTAAATAGTATGGTGCATTTAAACAGGTTTTCCGATTCTCATTTTTCTGCAGATGCTCAGAAATCAGGAAATAAAAAAAAAAAAAAAAATCAAGCTTCTAATACGAAGCTTCTACATGTGCAATATCAGAGTTGGGGAACTCTCCAGCGGTGGGCCACTGCTGCCAGAGTCAGCGAGGGAACACAAAGGAGACCTGCTTCATCTCTGACCTCGAACAAGCTGAGACCACACAGACTGGCTGAGCCTTAGCGAGCTCAGTAACAGACTAGAAATGGCAACACAAAGAAACTCAGACTCAGCAAGTCTGTCTTTTTACTCCAGGTCATACAAAAGTGCTCACCTAGAGGATCATAAACTCATATAGAAGCTATTCTTCTGAAAATTCACAGGGAAAAGGAGCATTGCTACACCGAAGGTACTAGAGTCATATTATGACATGTAAACTGCAGGTAAGATGCCAAGGGATGTAAGAGATGATGGATATACCAACAGTGGAAACCCAGCAGAACAGACAGCTTTGGGGTGGAGTTTGTCATTTGCTTGTAATAAGCATTATGAGCACTCTTACCACGAAAACTCAAACTGGACATAAGCTCCTCTGCAAAAAACAGGATCCGACTGGCAGACCTTTAAAAGAAAGCCTGTATAGCTTAGCCCTACCATAAAGTTGGAGTAATCTTTCTTGAAGGGGGTCCATGTGGACCTCATGGACCAAATGTGGTTCTTTCAGAAATCAAATCCTTGACATGCTTGGAGACTCACCATGCTGAAACTGAGTCTCCACCTTCAGATACTGACGGAGCAGATCCATCACCACTGCTTTCATGTGACCCCGAATACCGCTCCGGTACCTGCAAAAGCAAAGAAGTCAAACCTAGCACTGAGTGAGACTGGCGCAGCCCTGCTTCTGAAGACCTGCAAGTGAGTGACACTCAACATGAGTGGCAGGATAAGCCTGTTTGCTTACAGAAAGAAGCATACCTGGTTCTGAAAACCCCAAGTGCCATTACTGTTGTAGCACAGCTCATGTTTTGCATCAAAATGTCCTTTTTCTTCTAAAAATACTCAAAGCTCTAGACACTGAAAAGCATAACATGCACCAGGGGCCAAGATGTGATCAGCATCAGGACAGAAGTTAAATCTTTCTTTCATATAGCAAAGGGAAAAAGAGAAAGGATCTGTATGTGTGCTTCACACAGGCAGCCAGGAGCCACACACATGGCCCCCTCACTGTTGACCTCCCTGAGGGAAGTATCCAGGCTTATTCCTAGAGATTTAGACTCTGAGTGTAATAAAACCATTTGAACAAAGACAAGCAGGTTCAGGTCTTTCAAGCAGCAGCAAAAAAAAGAGTTAGGGGGCACCCCTGAAAATGGCTCACCTCTGCACAAGCTGCACAATGCTCTGAGTGTTCATGAAGAAGACCTCACGCTCTGATTTGCGGTTCAAGGTGGCTGCGTGGCTATCCAAGATATTGGCAATCTGAAAGAGAGCAATCACATGACAGTCCCCCTCCTGGATGGGACTACCTGGCTGAACAACCAGCAGAGAAGCTGAGAACTTCGAGACAGACCAGAGCTCCAGCGGACTCCAGCAAAGGCCAAAGCCTTAAACTGCTAAGGAACTTAATGACCTGACAGCAATACAAAAAAAATCAACGCACAGTATTGTATACTGGAGAAATCATCTTCCAACTTCTCATTACCAGATCAGGCCTCCCTGAGTTGCAATCACTCTTTTTTAACGTTATGTTGACACTACAGATTGCACTGCTGCATGCGTACAATGCAAAAAGCAAATAAATAAATGCCCACAAGGTCACCGAGATGATTAAACTGCTTCCAAACTGCCTGCTTAAAGCTATACTGAGGAGGGAGCTCATACCCTTCAGCACAGGTAAAGGACGCAAGTCTTTAAGCTCAAGTGATACAGGTAAGTATCTTTCATCATGAAGATCCCATGTTCAAAGGCACCTTTCAGGTCCAACTAACCTCCAGATAATTTAAAGGAACTTTCTCTCTCTCTCTCTGCCCCAACACAAACCAATTTTTACTCCTCTGTATATGTGTGGTTGATCACCTGTTGGCTGGGAAACTGGCAAAGGACTGATGTGATGTTGCTGGCATATTGGGCCATCTCCTTCTTGATGGACTTCTCTACATTGGGTGGGATCCGTCCAGAAACACTGGTCATGATGTCCTGAAGTTCCAGCAGAGGCAAAGACGGATCTCTCAGTGTCTTCATTAGTCGCTCAACCCAGCCTTTCACCTAGAGAGAGGCAAGTCAGCATAAAGACAAGCATGAAGAAAAGAATAAGCAGCAAGAAGGGAGAAAAGGAAAGGCTTTTCACTGAGGCCTTCCTCAATACTGTTTTATCACACAGCTAGTCCAGAGACTAAAAGAGAGCTGGGGTAGATGACAAGCTGCTGTGCTACTTTATGCCAACAGCTGACTCGGATCCACCCACCTTCCTTCCTCCTCCCTCTAGGACTTCTACCACAGCTGGCTATGCACGCAGCTCCCATGTACAGGGCTGCAGGCACAAGCAGTAAAGATCAAGCTCAACTCCTTGTCTTTGTCTGGGGTGCCACAGATGGGACTCTCCCATCTTACCCTCTGGTGAGCAAGGAAGTCTAAGAAAGGAAACCGAATCGAGCTGGCGCTAGCAGGGTAGCCCTGACTCTTGGTCCTCTGGCCGTGACATGCAAATTGGCCAGCCTTACCTTGAACTGAAAGAATATTCATGCTCTCGCTCTGAAACGAGAAGTAACCAGTACCTTGCTGATGAAGTAGGGCTCTGGCAGGCAGTATCCATTCATCACATTGACCAGGTTATCTAGGACATAATGGAAGATGCGATGGAGTTTCTCGCCTCGAAGTGCTGTGCTCTGGTTCTGCGGCAAGGTACCCGTGTGCAGTTCAGCCTGGAAACACAACAAACAGCACAGCGTCACTAACCCTCCTGTATGGCATCAGCCATGGTGGTAACAACCAGTCACCCTTGACTGGAGCCTCAGATTTAACTTGGAAGAATTCCCAAGGTGGAAAATGCACTTGGTTGAGAGAGAGAAAAGTTATGAGCTGGATCTCCAACAGTGCTATGTTGTGTACACCCACAAAATAAACTTCCAGCCTCTCTCCCAAATACGTTACAGTTGATCTCATTGTTTAGATCCAGGATGACCAAAAATCTCAAAAAAAAGCACAGCAAAAGCCAACGGTTTGGTGCTGACAATCACTTTCCACCCCCTGCATGACAACCTCCCGCAATTTTCAACTAGCTATTGCTAAAGGAACAATAGATTCTCTTCCACTGCTACCAGCTACATCCCAGCCTACCATCCCTAAGTGAATATAACTCTTTGCCTTTCACCTTAAAAATATCCACGTCCTAGGCTCTTTTTTTGTATTTCCAGGTTTGCTACAATTGCTATCACAGGGCTCTTGGAGTTGGGACATCAACTCCCAGAATCCCAAAGAGAGTCACTTAAGAAGAATACACGATAAAAAGAAGTTAAATAAACTTGCATAGGAATAAAGCAGATAGAAAAATCCAGCCAACCTCCAATATCCTAGACAGCCACACACCCACAATCGTACTGAGTAAGGAGAGAACAAGAATGGTACATAAGCTTAGACTGAATCAGAGAAAGAGCCAATTCGAGTCCTAGTCCTCATCCAAGACAAATAAATGGTAAAGTGACAATTCCAGTACAATGCCCAAGTCTGGAATTGGTTCAGTACCCTGGACCATCTTGTAGCACTCTCAACATCACTCCCCTATTAAAAGCACAACTAACATCTGTGCTTCCTGCAACTTCTCACCTAATCATCCAGCTTGAGCTTGGCAATCACACAGCCTGGATCCAAGACTGCCCCTGGGCGTTTCACATAATGGATGCAGCCTGATTCTCCTGCTGTTAGTGTCATCACCATTTTCATCACCTGTAGCAAGGAAAACAGGTTACACGCTCAGCCTCCATGCTCCCCAAATTGTTGTAGTTTTGTGAGCCAGCAGCCAATGTCCTGCCACAGACAAACTAACCTGCATGAGCACCTTTTGCATTCAGGCTTTCTCAAAGGCTTAAAAGTACACTGATTGGGAAAGAAACCCCAGCCACTAAAGTGAATGGTAGAACAAAATAATTGGCCCCAAATTAGCGCAGCAGGAAGCCACCCTCAGGAACGTCACCTGTGCCACACTGCTTGGACCAACAGGTACTCAAGAAGGTCCCGCATTCAACACAATGAAGAAAGCAGATACAATTTACTGCTGCAGCTGCTGCGCTCTAAAGGCTAGAAGCGGGAGAGCCGCTCTCAAAAGCTACAGCAACACATTCACTTTTAGCAGAGGGAACTAGGATTACTTTCTGGAGGTCACAGGTCTCAGACCGCTCTT